CAAAGCTCGTGACTGTTTAACATTAATCTTTTAGCAATATATTTTTAAAATCTAAATTGAATTAAAAAAATGTAAAACTAATAAATCAAATACAATTAAATAAAAATGAAAATATCGTAAATGAAAATAAAACAAAAACAAAAAAAAATATTTTTAAAAATTAAATGAAAAAAAAAATATTTTTTACTTTTAACACAATAAAATCTTGAAACTAAATTGGGTAAAGAAAACATTTTATTAAAAAAGAGGAAAGTAGTACATAAATAAAATAAAAAGTATTTTTATTTTTAAAACCAAATCTTAAAATTAAAAGAAAATTAAATTAAAAAAAAAACTAAAAAAATTTAAGTCAAAAAGAAATACGGTCCTAAAAATTAAATGATATAAAACAAATATATTTTTCTTTGTAAATCAGTAATATATTAAAATTTAAATATAATTAAATTAACGCAAGAAAAAACAACTAAATTAAAAATAGAAAAAATAAATACAATAACTTTCTAAAAATTTAATGAAATTGAAAGATATTTTTCCTTTTTAAACAGTAAAATCTAAAAATTAAAAGGAAATTAAACTTAAAAAATAATAAAAAAGTAAGCCATTAAAAATTGATTAAAATAAAGCGATAAAATACCAAAGTTATAAGACAAGGAATTACAAATAAAAAATAAACTAATTAAATTTTAAAAGAAAAAAATTGATTCTAAAAATTAGGCACAAAATATTTTTTTCTTTTCTAAACAATAACAAATAAATAAATTTAAAAATTAGAGGAGAAATATGTTAATAAGAGGTATAATATTAAATTAAAAGAAGAAAAAAAGTTTATAGAAATTAGATGAAATAAAAGAACTATATATTTCGTTTTGACGCGAAAAATTAAATATGTAATGTTAAAAAAATAAACGAAATTAAATTAAATATATATTTTTTTCCTTTTAATCCAAAAAAATATAAATATGTATATGAATAAAAAAAAATAATAATAAAACAAAATCAAAAATATTTGAAAAAGAGAAAAAATACCGCTGCCCGAGACTTGAACTCGGATGTTTCGAATGGCACGCCTATGCTTTGCTCACTCGACGATTACAATTGCTGGGGAGGTGGTTTCTCACAATAGGAATTCGTTTAGCACGAGGTTCCACAACAGGGGAGATAACACCCGCCGTGAGGGGAAACAGGATTACTCTTGCCACTTTTATGAGTAGCACTACTCCTGTGCGATCAGTCAAAGGGTTCGACCAGGAAGTTATCTCATAGGGCGTTGAGACTGTAGGCGAGGGCTGCTGCACCGAAAAATCGACTGTATAAAAGGTACTACGCGTGAAACCACGATAATCGAAATTATGCTACTCTAGCGCCCGTTTTTATCCACCTGGCTTAGGAGCTTGAGGCGCTTAAGGCAACATTGCTATCGATGTGGTACGCGAGAGGAATATGCCTTAGAGAGGCTGTGCTGGTGTAAGGGGGCTGGTGGTGTGATATTCCGATGGTAAGAACGGGTTCAAGCCCCTCGATTCTGGAGCTGGAATCTTTTTCAAGACGGAACAGATTCAGCTCTGGTTTTGACTTGGTGGCAAGACTACTATCTTTCAAGCACCTATACATACCTGTGGCTCCTTGTACAAGTGACCATTGCAGAGCTGCGGTGATAAGGTGAAACTCAGCCACTATTCAATTTCATATTATACTAACTATGCATTTAACCAAAAACGCAACAGGATACTCGGTAAAGTACGTTTCTTCTTCAATTACTCCTCCAGCTAACGAACATACTTTGTTTTTTGTTTTTTTTTTTTTGTTTGGCAAACGCTCCAGTATACCATTTCACTAAAAATTTAAACTTTCTAAAACTGCGTGTACTTTGAAAACATTTTTCTCATGATTTCATAGTAACCGTATACATTGTGGAAAATTGCACTAATTATTTGTAACCAAAGTTTCATAAAAGTTTCATACAATTTTTTTTTTTTTTTGCTATTATCTGAGTATCTACTTGCTGGAGCTGGAGCAAATACATACTTTCAGTTTAATTAGATGGCACAAACAATGGTCGAGTGAAAAAGTGCAAACGCACGTGCATTTGAGCACCGAGTTTGTAGTAGATATGCAGTTAGTTATCTCTGTGAATGGGCGAGCGTGCGTGCGTGATTGCATATGGGGTGGAAAAGAGCTTGCACTCAGTAGTGCAAGTTTGAGTACCCAGTAAACATTTAAATAATGAGTTTAACTGGAAGTTAAGTTAGAAAACATAGCAGATACTAAAGAATGCTATGTTCTCAATAGTGGATTTATTTACGTGAAATGTATAGCTCATTTGTTAAGGATAAACGAAAAGCAGGATTTAGCGACTAATAAGTGGGTTTAAAATTTCAAACCTCCTTTATTTTTTAAAATTTCAAAAGCAAGTTTTAGCATTTACATCTACATTGACAAATTTTAATGCTACCTTCATTCGAAATTTCATTTCATTAATTAATTAAAAATATAATATTGAAATGTCATCATCAGGTGGCATAAAACATAGGACATGTCACCGCCAGCTATCTAAGACCCTAAATCTATTAAAACTTGCAAGCTGTGGTAAAGAAGGTTGAGATATGTCCAAGACTTACAATCCAAGTATTTGTAGAAAACTTCGTAGTTATTTAGGCAAACCTATTTAATTAGATGTTCCTCTAAAAATGTTTCTAAATGGTATCGAAACCGACATCTTCTCGGTTTATTTAGACTACGTTGAAACAGGCCAATTAGCTGAGGCAATTAAGCTTTAAATTGCGACATTGATTTTGGTGTTCACACACACGTCAGCTGCGCAATTAGCGATACGAAATCAGCTGTTGGATTACCTACAGTGATGGAAAAGTTGGTGCAATCGTACCTTTATTTAGTTCGATAGTAAATTCGGTAAAAACACACAGTTTTAGGTACATTTGGAACGTAGCCAAATAACTTCTCAGGAAATCAGGAATCAGGATTTGTTATCCTCCTATTTTCTTTATATAGAAATACATATTTACTTTTTAGGTACATCAATGCACTTTTAGGTAAAGTTTTCCGTAAACTAGGTACACTTTTATAATCCAATTTTCCATCCCTTATGGAATATCAGCTGTAAAAGAGAACCAGAAACCAACAGCTGATTGCTATTTGTTCAATAAACATACCTCAAAGTCAAAATTAAATATACCTAGCAGGGTTGCATAGAGAATCTGACACAAATTAATTGCGAATTAATTATTAGTTGGCAATTAATAATTTTAAAAATTTTGTATGATAAGTTAGGTAAAAATTAAATCTTAAATTGGTGAAAAGGTTCTTGATTGCCAATTAGGGACCTGTTTGAACATAGTCTTCCAGGCCGTAATGTGCGAAGTTGGCATGACGGAGTCCTTGTAATCCGCGGTATTCTGCGAAAGATTTTTACTGCCACTCTCCGATTGCTAAAACGTAGCAGAAATTCGGCCTTCTTCGTCGGCTCTATACTCTGCAAGAACATGCGATTATACTGTGACTTCTTAGTTCTCAGAATGGTTCACTAGTCCCTGGTAAAATTGGAATTGTGAACGCGACGCTTCGTCGTAAATTTTCATACGAGGATGCTAAATGTGAGCTCGCCGTATCGTTGTATTTTCGCTGGATTGGACACACTTGAGTCTCAAGCACTGCAATTACTTACTGTCCGTTAAAGTCTTTAGATAGTAGGTTCTCATATTTGAACATACTTTTTGCACTTAGCACTTTTGCACTATCAAATAAAAGGACATATCCATCCGATTCTATCAAGGACTGGTAAATATTTACTAAATAACCAGTTGAGAGAAACTTGCACCATTTTTTCAACCAAAACTCCTCTGCATCTACATGTGCCGCTTACAGATGGGCTGTAACAATTTAAGTGTAACTTAGCAGTGCTCGATTATATCGATTATTACAGGTGCTCAATCCCTCTAGAATGCAATCGTCCTATGCTCCCGTCGGATAGCTGGGATATACTTGTATTACTCTTCAGACATAAGTTTGGCTTAATCAGCTAACAGAGCACAAACTTGGGCCAAAAAACACTGGATCTGTTTCAGACATTCTCTTTGTGGCGCTTATAGAATACGCTGTCGAGGTTTGTACATAATGTTGTATCAGTTCTTGCTGTAGGAAATCCGTTTTCGTTACGTTTGTGGTTGCCTGAGGAAGAGCCTCCATCCAGGCATCTTTTCGAATATATGCACCCGACGGCGTACCGACGAATTATCAACGGCTTTCGACATGACTCCCGACCTACATATGAATGCCGTCCTCGGTGCCCTATCTGCATCTATTGCAGATTCGGAGCTGCGACTGCCACGCTAGACCCGCGGTCTGTGGTTATTGCAGCCTCCTAAACAGCTACTTAACCAGACCAGACCCCGACATACCCAATTAGTGTCCGGCATGTTAAGACTCCTCTATGACAACAACCACCTCTCCACATGTCACCGTAATCTATGTCCAACCCTGTCGAAACGGCTGGCCTCCTTGGCCTACCGTTAGTTGAGCTTGTCGACAACGATTTACTAATAGGCTTGACAGAAGCTCTCTAAGCGAAATATAGGGATTCTCAATGGAGTGTTTTCATAATATCTCGCTTGGGTGTTCCATTTCTTCGAGGACCTGTACAGTTTGGACACTTGTCTCACTCGAGGGTCTATTTGGTTTGGCTAAAAAAAAAAGACGATTCAAGAGAGTTTAGCACCCTCATTGTGGTCCGTAAACTTGAAAATCTATAATTTCTCAAAAGCTGGCTACCAAATTTGAGGTTCACTGGGTTACTAAACACCCATTGCTTGACCGTTTTTGTATGTACGTTTATGAGTGCGACAATTTAAAGCAAATGAAAGCGAAGAAGTTTTCTAGCCAATTAGGCCAAAAAAGCATTTTAGTAGACAATATACATTAACGTACTTGAATGCCAGAGCACGACCTGAACCGAGAAGACCAAACAACTATTCCACCAACCGAGAATGGCGAACAAAGATGATCGTCTCCAAAAAGTAGTTGCTGAGTTGCAGAAATTTGGTATTTTTAGAAACAAAAAAAAAAAAAAAACAATATATGAACGTGTATAGCAAACAAAGAGCATATGTGCAAGATTAGAATTGTGTACATATATACGAGCACTATGTGCAATGTGCACACCTACATACATACCAACAAAAGCTTGTGCAATGCAATTAAGGGTGGGTAACTCTGTAAATTTTCGTGTGCTGACTCAGTAACTCCAACTCACTTTAATGAGTCAGCACAGTGAGCTGGCACAAGTGTGTATCGCACACTTCGAAATTATTGATGATGTTAGTAATCGAAATCGATTTAGAAAAGGTTATCCTTAGCTTCTGTTCGTGGCTGGCCGGAAAAATTTTACAAAGCTGATTTCAACTGGTGAGTTCATTTGCAAAATAATTCCCTACTTAGTTTTGCTTGAGAGTTGTCACATAAGAATCTGTTAAATGGGCTATGCATGTAAGCGGTTACCCAACGCATAGCACTTCACATGTAGAATTCTGTTTGGTTTTGATTTTTACGTAAAAATGGTATAGCAGTGCAAGTATGCATAACTTGGCTATTCGCCATGCTTCTTTTTAAATTTGGTAGTCGTATATTCAATTGATGGTTGGTCTAGTGATGCCATCTATTATGGTACTCTTTGGAAGATCCTATTGGGTGAATGTGTGAGCTCATCAATTGAGTTACCACATCGACACAGCAATGCAAGCCGCACCGAGCTATGCAAGTGTCAGCACATCAACTGAGTTACCATATCGACTCTGTAGCACACTGAGCTATACATTGTCAGCACATAAACTGAGTTACTGAGTTACAAATTTTTTCAGAGGTGAGTCTGAGCGTGCGGCACAGTTCTAAGAGTCAGCACAGTAACTCAGCACAGTGCTGAGTTACCCACCTCTAAATGCAATAGATATTAGAAGGAATATGAACTTGATGCTGAGTTGAACAAGTGTTGCATTTTTGTGGTCTTAAAAAAACCATTAATTTATCTGTGTGTGCAACGCTTATCGTTGAAGCAAAATTGCGGTTACATGACTGTGTCTTTCTTCTCTCTATAAAATCGCAGGCAGTCACATTTGTATCAATGTATGTAGATACCTTATAAGTGTGTCTGTATTTAAGGAAATTCAAAAAAAAAAATCACCACTTCTACTTTAAAAAATCTGTCGACGCTCGGCCTGTTTGCTTCTTTTTTCAATCCCATTTGCAGAACTATCTTTTATAAAAAAAGGAGGTTAAGAAAATCCTAAAAAATAAGTAAAAGTCAAAATATCTCTGCAACAAAGTTTCCAAGTTAAGTTCAACATTCTTTCCATTGCTGTGCAGTGTTCTTTCCAGAAAAGTTAATTTTTGTTGCATTGACACGTGACATTGTGTTGCAAGCAGGTAGCAGGCAGCAGTCAACAAACATGCAACAAAATGAAAGGACAGCGCGCAATGCGAATGCGAGACGTTCAATATAGCCAACCGAGATAACAGTTTATTAGGTTTATTCGCTATTTTGTTGTTGCGTTTTTTGTTGTTTGTCAACTTCTTGCTACATTTGCTGTGGCATTCACTGCTGCTATCTTCCTAGTCAACAAAACCGTGAAAACAAACAGCAATGGAAAAGAAAACACAAAGAGTAAAAGAAAAAACGGTAAATAAACAGATATATAAGCCCGCAGACGGCAGTCTGGTGGTTTCAGATGAACGACATTATTGAAAAAACAAAATGCGAAAAAATATATATATATAAAAAAAAAATAAAAGTAAATATATATGTGGATATGTATTCTTATTCATATTCGAATTTGCATTTGTATTCGCTTTATATTTGCCATCACATTCTTATTCGTATTCCTGAAGATACTCGTAATTGCAGAAATATTCGTATTAACATAAGCACTCGTAGATATTCATATGAGTATTCGTATTTGCACTCGTACTCGTGTTTGCATTCATATTCTTAGATATTCGTATTGATATTGGTATCAGATAACTATTCGTAATCACAATCAACTCCATATTCGTGGTCGTTTCCATAGCCTATTCGTGACGGTATTCGCATTCGTCTTCCCAAACATATTCGCATAAGTTTTGTTTTTCGTATTCGTATTTATATACATACTCATATCCGAATTCATATTCCTATTAATATTCGTATTCATATTCCTATTTATATTGATATTTAAATTCATATTCATATATATGTATATTCGTATTCGTATTCATATTCATATTGATATTGATATTGATATTCATATTCATATTCATATTCATATACATATTCATATTCATATTCATATTCATATTCATATACATATTCATATTCATATTCATATTCATATTCATATTCATATTTTTATTAATTTTTATATTCATATTCATATTAAGGTTCATATTCATATTCTTATTAATATTAATATTCATATTCATATTTATAGTCGTATTCACATTCATATTCATGTTAATATTCGTACTTATATTTATATCCATATTCATATTCATATTAAGATTCATATTCATATTCATATTTATATTCGTATTCACATTCATATTCATATTAATATTGTTATTCATATTCATAGTGATATTCATACTTATAGTCATATTAATATTTCTATTTATGTATATTCATATTCATATTCTCATTCATATTCATACTCATAATCATATTCATATTCATATTCATATTCATATTCATATTCATATTAATATTCATATTCATATTCATATTCATATTCATACTCATATTCATACTCATATTCATACTCTTATTCATATTCATATTCATATTCATACTCATATTAATACTCATATTCTTATTCATATGAATATTCATATTAAATAAATACCAACTAGAAACATACATACCTACATATTAGGGTGGTCCTTAAAAATGTCAACATCATGGTAACCTTTTTCGTTCTTTTCTATGTCTAAAATACCGACATCTACGACATTTTCGAAATTTTAAACAAATTTTTAGAGGTCGGCAGGTGTATATACAATTAGATTAAACAATTCAAAAAATTTCAATAAAATCTCAACTTCGACCAGCTCTAACTCAGCTCGTGTAAGAGTTTATTTGATTAAGTTTCAATAACATGTACAATTTTTAAGATTTCCAATCAAAATTTTGTAAAACTTTATTAAAAATTTGTTCAAATATTTTATATGTTCCTGCATATCTGTATTCTGTATGTATAGGAAAACAAACAAGTGCATCATGCAAAATTTATATGTTGATATTTTAAGCACCACCCTAATACACGTCTACATATTTTGTAAGTTATCTAAATTCTTGTCAACTTCTTGTCAACTCACTTCAATTAAAAGCTTCATCGATCTACTATTCCCTGCTGATATGCGTCAACTGTTTTCTAATAACTTTGACTATCAAATTTCCTTTGCTTCAATTTTGTGAGTAATTCTTAAGAAATAAATTACTTTAATTTACATAAATTTTCCAGCTCATAAATCAAAGCTTTTTAGTTAGAAATATCAACAATCTTAACCCGATACAAATACATGCATCCATACATACACTTATAAATAGTTACTTGTAGATATGTATGTGTCTTGGTCCATCCATTTGCATAAGTTTATTGTAAGTAGTATTAGATACATTTGTACAGAAAATTTTGCACAATTTATGCCACAACAAAACACAACAATGACACTAAAACCGCATATAATTTAACACTTGAAACAACGATTCAATCCTGAGGGAACAGCAAATGACTGCTTAAGCGTTTGCTCACTGGTCAATTGCTTTATTTTGTTCATTCACAATCGAACGCATACAAATATGTACATACATACAATTCCAAATCCGTAAAGCATTTAGCCAGAGGAGGGCAAACCGCAGTAAATAGACGTACTTATATGTATGTATGTATGTCTGAATCATTCACATGTTTATGTGGAAGGCGTGCAGGTGGGCAAGTCAAACGTCTTACAAAATATCACTTGGACTTGTAGATATTGCATATGTGATCAAGTGATTCTATGTATGCACATGTACATACATATATGTATTTGTATGACTGTATAAACACATTTAGCCAACAACTGAACAATATTATTGCAATTAATTATTTGCTACAATCTCCACAATATAAACAACATGATTTGATAGAGAACCAAAACGACAATTACAAGCAAAGCAGCAGACAGCAGACATGATTATCAAACAGTATTGCAAATGATTTTCTTATGACTTACGTATGTTCCCTGGAGGCAAAACTGTAGAGAATAAAGCAGAATATTTGTAGTTGAGCATACTTTGACAAACGCCAACCAGTGGGGCATTAGCTTGAGGACACAAGGGAATATTAACTGATAAGATATGATATACGGTCAATGAAAAAACGAATCTTCTTGAAAATTAACAACCCAAAAGTAATAAATTTTCATAAAAGTAAAATTGGAAAGCATAATTTGGGCTTTGAGAACTTAAATCGGAACCCAACAGCATCTTTCTGTTTCAATGTCCTCTTTTTGACTAGTGTTTACATTTGAAAAAAAGCCTATGTATATGTAAACCTTATTAAGAGTGTTGCTAATCTTCTTAAAAAGTCTTTGAAATATTTGGTAGTCAATAATAGACCGAAATCTGCTCAAATAAAAGAAGATTTGTATCCGTTAAACGGTGTTCACATGAGGCGATTTTAGAAGCGATTAATTGAATCAAAAGTTGACTGCCTTCAAGTTAATTTGGAAGCGATTGGTTAAAAGGCCATTCACATTAGGCGATTGTTGCCTTCAACTGAAAGTTAACTGTAAAAACGCTTCATGTAAATACCGTATTAACTAATATAAATACAGCAGATAGATCCTCGTGAAATCGGTTCTTCGCCCTTGCTTTAATTTTTGGCAGCAACGCCAGTATAGATTCTTATGAACTCTCCCTGCTTCCTGAAATTTATGCACTTTATGTCCACGATATGTATTACCTTTGAGGAAAGCTAACTATATTTCTATGGAGATGGCCGCGAAATAGTCATTTTATAGTCTGCATTAGA